TTTTTTTTAATAACTCGAATCAATTCTCGCATGAGTGAATAAATAATGCGAACCGTTAGTAGGCAGCATTCCTATCAGTAACAACCTAACAACATTGACGCGGTCGCTGGTCAACGTGGACTCGCAAACATCAGTTGATCGAGTCAATAGCCGCCGTGTAGGTACCTACACTGCCCGACCGTCGACGATACGCAACGACCGAAGACGACGTAGGTAACTATCTCGTGGCGCAACTTTTGGTTTCATACATTTTGCGAGTATAATCTTATCATTTGCTAATTTATTTATTTTTTATGTTACACCGCAGTACAAGCTAATTATGTCTTTCCGGCAGGCAAGTTGCAAATAAGGACGAAATTGATTGCAACTAATTTATTTAAAAAAAATTACATAAAAGTATTATTGCTAAATTAGTGACTCTTGGTCGAAGTTGGAAGCAAAAGTGTGTGTATTGTAGAAAACGATGCTGTCGTCCGGTCCGTCACGTTGTAGGGCACGATGGGCTGATGCAGCGATTTCGCCATCGATGCACGACTGATGCAATTTTAATAAGTATTTCAAATAATTTGCCAATCTGCGGAATCCATGGACTGTTGCTATGTAACAAGCTTGTAATGAGTAGTATTCTGTTAGTTAAACCACAGGTCCATGGGATTAAAACGACTAAAATTTAACGGTGTATATTAACCATATTGAACCTAGTAACTTTTAAATGGCTCTCATTCATAGCAAGGAGTGGTGCGAACTCCGTTTCATTATAGTTTTTGGTATCGAAAATCCGATACATATTCCTGACACATGAACTCCATTGATTGAGCTCATGTGGGACGAGCTAAAAAGACGTGTGGCTCGTCAGCCAGTTGCCCAGACGATGCAGGAGTTCAAAACTGCTATAGAAGAGGCATGGAAGATGATCCCTCAAAATTTCATAGAGCGGTTGATTAACTCTATGCCTAATCGTATGAGAACTGTGGTAGATGCCCATGGAGGCAACACGCGTTATCAAATTAAACCTTTATTTGATAAAACATGTTTTTTATTCGAAAATCAATTGCCTTCAACAAGTCGCATATCCGATTTGTTAGGCGTAGCTCCATGTCGTATGGTATTCTGAATTCAAATTTAAAACAATACGATCGAAAAAGATGGTAAAATGTATCAGGTTTAAAACTGCATCAACAGTTTTCGTTCAATCTAGCAATCATATTTCGGTAAGGGCCATCGAAACCTAAACTCTAAGGTGGGCCAATAGATATGTCCAGAAGTGTATTATTGTTTTATATTTTCAGGACGATATATCAGAGCGCACGTCGCTCCTCCGGTCCTCGTCCCCGGACAGCGCGGTGTCCCTCGGCCGCGCGCTCCGCATCCCCGGCGTTGTCGAGTTCTCACTGTCTCTGTTCTTCGCCAAGCTAGTCAGCTACACGTTCCTGTACTGGCTGCCTTCTTATATCCGGTATACCCTGCGTAAGTATCATATTTATAATATCAGACAGACTATTACAGACTAAGTTATTAGTACAGACGTCGACTTCCAATTTCACCTTCTACCAACTCTCTCATTTCATTAGTTTCTCCATTTCTATCAATACATCTTCTTAAAATCGCGGGTTACTCATCTGAATGTACTGAGAAAAGCTCTACTAGTTTCGAGCCACAGAGGGGCTCTTCCTCATGAGCGGCGTGCGCGGTCACCGCGATCTGGCACAGCCTACTGACATGACATGACATATACACGGTAACCCGCGATTTTTAGTTAATTTAGTATGTCTAGCGATAGTTATTATAAAAAAATATTCTTTTCATCAACTCCCACCCTCACTTCAATTCCCTGAAATCGTAATTTCTCTGTTTCTATCAACTTCCACTGCTTATTATCGCACCCGTTTCGTCAGTTCTGCCATTTTTGTTTACAAGTAAATATAATTTGTTCGCTTAAACTGTCAAACACCAAGCGGTCACCGGTGACCGCAACCTATTGTTCTATAATTGTGTCTGCAAAACCGGTACTCGACGAGTTAAATGGCGGACATTTTTTTATGGGACAAGTCGGTAAACGAGCAGACGGATCACCTGATGGTAAGCAATCGGCGTCGCCCATGGACACCTGGAACACCAAGGCGTTACAAGTGCGTTACCTGCCTTTTGGGGATTAGGAATTTCAGGATTGTTGGAGATTCAGGGATTTAGGGTGATTGGGATAACTACAGTTAACTACTCCATTTCATTAAATCCCCTTTTTAATAACTCCTTCTCCATCTCATATCAAATAATTCCTATCTTTAATCAACAGCTATTTTCAGCTATACCCTCTTGTACAATACAATATCCCTCTCATCAATAACCACTGTTTATTGACACTCGTTTATTTAGTTGATCCATTTTCAGAACGCTTCCCTTTTCATAAGCTCCCTCTACACTAACTCCTCTTTTTATTACTTTCTTCTTTTACCAATTCCAACATTCTGTCAATTTCCACTTTTTATTAAATCACCCCTTATCTAAAGCCTCCCACTTTCACCAACTTCCACCAGATTAATAACAATCCTGGTTTGATTCCAGCGAACCTGTCGGCCCGGCAGTCGGGCGAGCTGAGTACAGTGTTCGACGTGGGCGGGGTGCTGGGCGCCATCGTGGCCGGGCTCGTGGCAGACTGCAGCGCGGCGCCCGCGCTCGTCTGTGTCTGCTTCTACTGCGCCTGCGCACCCATGGTTAGTGTCTAGATACTGTGTACGTCTGTAAATGTAGTTGCTTAAGTTTTTCTTAATCCCCATGGTTGGTGATTTTGGTGGGGATTATGGTTTGGTTCCTGTTTTAGATGTGATGTCCGTGGATCAGTTGCGGACCGCGGTTGATTATAGTTATCAAGATTATGCTAACGTAATAGATTTTTTAACATACACATCAACAGTGGGTGACCATTTACTGTTGTACTGAGTAACCTCCACATAATATTATAATCCCCACACTTGGCTAACAGGGTGGAGATTGATAAGTTTAAGAGATTCAAGTGTCAAATGTGTCAGCTCTAACGATACCCACGTTATGATTAGCGGTGGTCACACCCAAATAATATTATTCTTTCTCCCCCCAGCTATTCCTATATCAATGGTGGGGAGGCACCTCGTATCTAATGTCAGTAATTCTACTGGTGATGACGGGCTCGCTAGTGAACGGCCCGTACGCACTAATCACCACAGCTGTCAGCGCCGAGCTTGGCACGCATCACTCGCTCGCGGGGAACAGTCGCGCGTTGGCTACTGTCACCGCTATTATAGATGGAACTGGCAGTCTCGGTGAGTAGCAGGTTAAGGTATACTTTTTAAGTCTTTCCTGAGTGTCCCTTCGTCCAGCATACTCACCATGGAATCCTGATATTTCATGAATGTCAAAAAACTGTTCTGAAATAGTGCTAAATAGTGCCCAAAGGAAAAAAATAGTGCTCTTGTACTTGCGAAGTTATAGCCATAGTTCGATGAGTATGCTGGACGAAGGTTTCGCCCAGCATACTCACCTCCGTCCGGAGAATCTGTATACGCTTCAAACATAATTCATACTTCAAAAAATAGTTCCCAAATAGTGCCAAACGGTGCCCAAAAAGAAAAAACAGTGCTCGAATAACTTCGGAGTTATAGGCTTCGTTCAGTGAGTATGCTGGGCGTAGGTTCTACGCCCAGCATACTCACCTCAGTGCGCGAATATCGAACGAGCTATAGGTACAATTTACGTCTCAAAAAATTGTGCTTGAAATAGTGCCCAATATCAGTCCAATTTTTGCTTGACTTTTGACCTAGAAAACCATTAAATTTGATTGTAAACTTCTACATACATTACATTGAGTACAGTCGAATACAATATTATTAACTTTCTTTCTAACAATTTTTGTCTTGTGTAAATTATTAATTGTCTATGTAAGGGAGTATTTACTTTAGAATCGCAATATTATTAATTACACATTATTTTAATAATACTTTATAATAATATGATTAAGCCTTCGCGCGTCGCATGGGACCCCGGTAGCTAGGAACAATGATTTTATATATTTTGTCTAGATCACGGCGCTTGAAGGATTAAGATATCAAATGAAGTAAATCATGCATGAAAAATAAAGTTGCTGTTATTAATGCTTACATTACAACTGACAAAATTATTCAAAATAATCATTTTCCGGATCAAGGACGGTACCACAACGTTTACGGAATTGACCTGTATTCCTCATGTGATAAAGTTCAATATAGTGTGGCAGTAATGGATGCACGTACGGTCA